TAACTATGGATCAGCTCAGTTGGTTATGTGCAATTCCTCTCATTCAAAGTGACTAATCCTCAGATAATTATTGTCCAACTTTTCAGCTCCCTTCAGATTTTCTTTCTGAACTTATTATTTGTGTCAGTTTCAGAGATGTTTTTAATCACCTTTATTTGGCCAAGTATGTTACACACAAGGAATTTATTTCCGGTACAGAACCAAGGCAGCCATCTGCGGCGCCAACTCAACCAATGGCTCTAACCATCGGGGGCAACTTGGGGGTTCAGTGTCTTGCCCAAGGACACTTGTCCACAAGGACATGTAGACTGCAGGCACCAAGATTTGAACTTCCAACAGATGCTCTACCAACTGAACCACTGAAAATATACATAAAACCATCATAAACAATTGATATATTAGCATAGTGAGGAAGCTCCTCAATTTGGCAGCAGTATAATGAAATACAGATGCAGACAGTAGACAAAAATGTATATCCTTCAAAATAATATACTTTGCACCAATGCAAAGTTTTAACATTTCACAAACATTCCAGTTCAATCGTGTGTGTGTGTGTGTGTGTGTGTGTGTGTGTGTGTCAGGGTGAGGATTTTAATGTTTTAAGAAAAAAAAATTAAAATATAAATTATTGTAGGAGTATTTTGCTGTTATCACTAGAAGATGGCTTTTGCTCACTAAGCTGAGCCAAACTCATTTGTGCAGCCCTGACCAGGCTATGCATGCTTAAGTAACCACACTGCTGATACTGTGCTGCAAGGCACAAAGTGGGCTCATACAATCTAGGCCAGAGCATTTATCACCTCCTTTTGGTTTGCTTTTCTAGGTGCTATGTAAAGTTATAAACCTTGCACGGCCCAGTCTCTAAGCAAAACTTTCTTCTTTACTATATACAGTAGCTTTGCTTTTCTTTTGTTTTTTTTTTGTTTTTTTGTTTTTTTGTTCAACACACTATAACAGCCTTTGTTAAAAAGTCATTAGGTATTGTTAGTAATACTAAATAACACCATAGTGGACATTTGTTTCATGTCACCCCCTTTTCTTTCCTCATGTCTAGCATTATAAAATTAAAATAAAAAGGCCAGAAAATTTCATGAAGGTGTGACTCTGCTCTCCTTCCTTCTGCCAGGTGATACATGAAGTACACCTTTCCTCAAGTGGGTTTCATCTTTTATTAATGAAGCCTGTACAATAACTTCACATTTTTCAGCTATAGTAGTGATGCTTCTTGTGTCCTTGTGAGTTTAGCTTCTTCAAACGGCCAAGAATGTGCTGAAGAGGTTGTTGTGTCTTAATCTTAATCTCTGATCTAAATGCAAAACGTCTTCCAACCTAAATGACCAATTAGGTTGATGATATGATTCATAAGAATCTTTTCTGAAATAGTCTCCTGGATACAGAGACTCTAAATAAACTACAAGATAAACAGCCAGAAATGACAAACTAATTTTTTCTTATCCCCAGTGCCACAACTAGCCTATTAATATCAAATTTTTAAGCATTTAGGAAATCCACAATTTCAATAGCGTTGAATTTACTTTTAAGATATTCGTTTGATGCAGTGGGCGTGTATGATAAAAGAACAAAGCGTTTACCCCCATGAAAGGGGCAGTCACAACATTATAGTGTTAAAGACGTGTGTGTGTTTGTGCCCAAGGTCTGTCATGATTAATGCTCCTTCAAAGGCCTTGGGGCTTAGGGGACCGCAGATATGACCTATGCAGAGCTGAGTGGCTCAGCAGTCCCGCAAAGACTGACTGCCTATCTGGAGATACACTTTAGATGCCTCCTGTGACCTTCTCACGGATGAAAAACACAGGGGACACTTTGTACATGGAGGTGAAGTGTGTGTGTGTGCGCCCCCAGACACGTCTCTTAATGTACTGGCAGTTACACACCAGTACACCCACATCCTGAAACATTTAGTGGAGGTTGCTTATCTTCCTAGAAAGGTAATGGACTGATAACCGAAATGCACCGCACCCTTCTTCTATTTATGACTCTTAAACCAACCAACCACAGCAGAGTATTTCCTTTGTAATTCTAACCCAGTCATTTTGATACATCATGGCTCTGCCCTTGAGAAAACACACACACACACACACACACTCATAGATAAATAAAGCATTTGAATAGTGACAATACACACAAAGACACAGGCAAATATAATCACTAATCGGTGTCCCACTTTCATTCACATGCATTTTGACACACACAGAGCATGTATGTGAGGCTGAGAAGCATTCTGTACACTTGACACCATCCCCAAGGTCAGTCGATGTGTAAGATTGTGTGTTATGTTAGGTATCTTTGTAGGTTTGACTATCACATCTTCTTTTGCCTGTGTGAGCATCCATTACACTGGCGAGCAGAGATAGAAAAAGACACACATAGTAACACAAGTGTTGATAGCTAGCAAAGGGAGACACACACATACACAAATGCCTGGGGTTGGGGTCCTAAATCTTCATCAGCAGCACAAGCTTGCCTCAGGATCAGAGCAGAAAAACTCCCTGATGAATGGCCTTATATTAGAGTAAGTGTGTGGAGAAGAGGTGGTGTGTAAATGTGTGCATTCATCTGTGTGAGGATGCATGTTAGTACTAATGTTCCTGCAGGGATTAGCTTTAAACCAATCAGGACAGCGTGCTGCGATTAACCCAGTGTGATGAAACAAACCAGGTACATACAGTAGACATCCCCAAAATATAATACATGTCCTCTGCAGATGATCAGTCAGTAACACAATGCAATATTCCCACAAGTATAGATGTTTGTGGCTGGTGATAATAAACCCACAGGGAATTATCATTTGACTCTGACACTGGGCTCCAGGGTGGGTTTTACTGTCAGCTTTACTGTTTTGATTCAGTCCACTCCATGCTCAGCACACAACCTTCTATCAGAAAAACATTGCAATGTCACAGTTTTTGTGAACTGCTACATTGGTCCACATTTTGTATTGTGGACCAATGTAGCTATTAAACATTTTGATGACAGGGTTGCCCGTGAGGCTATGAACCCTAATTGGTAGTTGTTTTTTGTATTGATAGCATAACAATTTTTTGGTTTTATCAATTTTCATATTTTAGCCGTCCCTGATAGGCTAGTGGTTAAGGCACAGCGCTCTTGCCGCTGCGGCCTGGGTTCGAATCAGGGTTTTGTCAGGAAGGGCATCCGGCGTAAAACATGTCAAACATATGAGTCGTCAGTGTGACGATTCGCTGTGGCGACTCCTAAAATGGGAAAAGCCGAAAGTGACTTTCTATCAATTTTCATATTTTGACATTCTAATATGAAGAATAATCCATGTATAAATTTAATTTGAGAGCTTAGTCATAATTTCTATCAGTAAAAATAAAAATATACTCGCCACGCTAATTTGAACCTGGTTGCATCACAGAGGTCAGATGTTATATAGATGTGTATATACAGTATGTTATATAAACTGTTCCATCATATACCATTCACTGTACTTAACAATTGATCTTGTATAGTCCTACGATGCAGCAGAGGATTATTAAGATATTTTGGGTACACTCATTACCGGTCAATTAAATAGTTGAGCTCATCTAAACTGTTGGGTTGTTCCCTGTTTGTCCGATCATCTGACCCATGATTTTTCCGCATTAGACTTCCTCATGGATGGAGATACTAACAGAGTCAAATTGTAATAAACAGAGATGACTCTTTATCACAACATGCATCTTCCCTTGTGGTGGTGTTTGAGGTGCCACATTTCAGTCCCGCACAGCAGCAAAGGAGTGATTGGTAGAAAACCTTGAGTGTACAGAACCTTGGACTCTTATTCTGTGGTCCTGAGTCAGATATCGAGCTTCAAGTTGTCAGGCCAACCACAAGCTCAGTAATAGATTCAAATTCCTTTTATTGAACTTCTCTCCATTGTTTGTAGTTTTGTCTTTGTCTGCTTCAGCCGATGCTACCATTGACATTTTGATATTGACGTCTTTGCTTTGATTTGTTTGTATGCATAATAGCACCATAGTATTCCTTTGACTTTCACTTGTTCTTTCTTTCTAACTCGTGCTGTTCTTTGGCAGACTTCCCCCTGGCACTGGATAAGAGGTGGATGAGCTGTGACAAATTACTTTACAAGTAATTGGTTAAAATAGTCGATTGATCCATTCATTGACCTCTAAGTAAAACTTGTGCACAGCCAGAGGCTAAATGGGATAAGGAAATACACCAACAGATAATTAAACCAGATTCCACTGAAGACCTGAACATAATAATCACTGCAACATCATGCATACTGCAGGAATGTACTGTGTCTAGAAAGCTTTTCCTCCGTGCCCCTCTTGCTCCTATTAGTGTGACTTATTTGAATTCCTCTGTGAAACGCAATGCAAAGTCATCAAAATAGCAGAAATAATGGAGGTTTTGGAGAAGTGTAGATGATGCAAAGTTATTATGTGCACCAAACCCATAAGGAATTTTGTTCCTGTATTAGTCTTTAGTGTTGCTTATAAATGGCTAGGGATAGAGTTGGATTAGCAGCTGCCTTTGGGAGGTAACACAGCAGGTAGAGAAAGAAATACTAAAGGTAGGAGCTTTGGCAGAACAGTACCATTCTTACAGAAGTGGACAAATGTGTTTTCCTCACATACAGCACTACAGGCTGCAGCCAAAGTGAACTACAAATCACTAGTTATTGTCTGTACGTCAAAAGTGCTTTGTCTCTCCTTTCATGTGGAACTCGATTCATTGGGATGTGGTTTCTTGGCTTGAATAATGTCCTAGACCAGATGTGGTGGGAGGGTCAAAGAGCAGTCAGGAGTGGTGTCAATTTGAGTCTCACCAATCTCTAAAGTGGCTGAAAGGAAATTAGGTAGAGTAGCTTTAAGGTGTAGGAGCTATAAGTCAGTCATTTTCACCATTATATTCATTTCAGGTTTCAGCAGAGGAACAGACCAGTTTGACCTGGGGATCAATGTATGTTCTTTTCTTGCACTCAGTTCCTGCCCTCCTGTCTGTGACTACCACTCTTCCCTCCTCCCACTTTCATTGATAGAATGTGTGGTAGGTATCATGTGTGATAACACAATGTTTCTGTATAAGATCGCTTTATGACAATATAAAATACACTTTCAAACTGTAATAATAATTATTATTACATAATTAGTCAGTGTTACATTCCTATCTAATAGGTTTCAAAGAGTATGTGTGGTATACATGCTCTTTTCTATTTAAAGGATATATCTTTCTTCCTAATGAAAGCGCTACCTTTGGTGCTGTGATACTCCATGTTTCATGCAACCTTCTACGATTAACTGATTCATTTGAAGATGACTTTTTCTGTTATTGCTTTTTTTAATTTATACTGCAAAAATATTATTTGTTATTAAAGAGCCGATGACACGTTTTTCCTTGTTTTCTGACTTATCTACAATGTTACAATGGGGAATTATCATCTTAGACAGGAGTGAAAGTTCATAAAATGAGCTGTACCTATGTTAATGTACTTCTATGCATAAGCAACTCAATGTATTATACAAGTCTCACAAACTCTCACTGGTGAGACTTTTTTCACCAATTATACACAATAGGTCACGGATTTTCTTGAATGGTGATAATCTCCTGGCTATGTGTGTTTATGCGAGCGTGCCTGACATCCATGGTGCCATTCTAAAAGTGGGATTTTTAGACTGCACACAAGGTTTTGTGGATATGCTTTACCTCCTGCTGTCTGCATTGTGATCAAAGGATGTGGAGAAAAATACAGGGCCTGAGGTTACTGCATGTCCAGGAATGTTCCTGTACAGGGACTTACTGTTTTACCTGACCAGTTCTAACATGGCGTGAATAGAGCAGCTGGAAACCTACAGGCAGCCGGCCACTGAAGCACTCTAGGGCGGTCAGTGATCAGCATCATCGATGCTGGAATCCTCTGGAGCACAGTACCTGTTTCTTTTGACTGCTTGAGACCAGTGTGTCTGCTGAATGTGATGTGATGTGGGTTAGCGAGAGGATTGTAATGATCCATGATGTTATTGACGGTGCAACACTGAAATAAATTTCACTGCTTTGGGAATGTGGTCACCGGTAACATGAGGGATTTGTGGAGGAAGATGCAGCGATCACCAGCTGAATTTACCGACCTTAAAGTTTCCACTACTCGGTGGAACGTAAAGGTAAATTTAATAAACACATCTTGCATGTCTGCTAATGCCTTGTTTCTGTAGAGAATTGTTATAAGGCTGGAGAAGTTACTGCATCTGCATTATGCCAGTTAAAATACAGGGTTTCTCAATTACCTGTTTTGTTTACAGTGTTACACATCTCTTTTCATCAGTACATATACCGGTGTTTACCTATCTATAGAGGAGAAATTCAAATTAATTAATGCTGTTGCGGTTCATTGTGCTGTCCACTTTCAGATTCTGGTTTGAACATATCAGGTAAAATTTGAGGTATTGTCGTTGTGGAAAACGTATTTTATTCATCACTGTTTTTTTGTTTGTGTTGTCCTGGCTTCCTGACCAGCCTTGTGTCCAAGTTTTCCTCCATAAAGGTGTTTCCCTTGTTCAGAACTTGGTTTCATGTAACACCTCCCTCAGTTGTTGTGCTTATGATAATGTTAGGATTGAGGTTAGGGGAAACACATCTTGATGGAGAAACTGATTTTGACCCAACACCAGCAGCAAGAGTTGTGCATGAACTATCCTCACATTTTTAGGAAGAGGCTCCCTGGTTTTATCATTCTGAAATAATTACAGACTATTTGGAGTTATGAGGGGTGCAAAGGTAATCTAGAGGTACCCAAGATTAAACATTACATGAGCATACCATGGGGACTTTAAGCTTGATATTGAATGTATATCCCAAGATTCAACATTAAATGACTGGAAATGAGCATGCCATGGGGGCTTTAATAAAGTTTAATATTATGAAACGTATGTTTACAGAAAATGAAAAGGGGTCAGAAAAAGCAAGCAAGCAATCTTTATTTATATAGCACCTATGTGAACAAGCATTACAAAGTGCTTTACAGGATTAAAAAACAAGAACATAAATACAATAAAAAGAAACAAGCACATAAAACTAAGGTAAAAACTCATTTGGCACTGGTGTCAAAGGCCTTAGAGAATAAATAGGTTTTTAATAACGAAAGTGACAAAATGACTTGATTCAGTACAAATCAAATAGAGTAAGGGAGGCTGTTCTATAATGAAGTGAAGCCAGAACCGGGGGAGTATGTTTATGTTTTGTGCCCCCAGAAAAGACAATAAAGGGTGAGTGTTTTTGTTATACTGATAGAAGACTTGTTTGGGAGACTAAAGGAGGGTCTTTCCTCACCCAAAATATTTTATTTCACTTTCCCTTGCAGATTAATTGTAACAAAACAATCAAAATACACAAGTAATGAAAGCAACTAGTCCATGAGGATTAAGGTTAGAGTTCACCATTTCATATGCTCTGTCTTTGAGTTGTAGGCGTACTCCTCAAGCAGTATCTGGTTAAACCCCAACCCTAGCCTATCCCAGTAATTTGTGCACAGTCCCTTACTGCAAAAAGGACAAGACAATATGCTGTTAGGATCCGTTCGCACCAGTCAGTGTGCAAACGAGGAAAGAGACGGACCCAGGTAGCCGGCTTCGGTGCATACAGTGATTTATTATGTACAGTGAACAAGGGAATGACAAAAACACAGAGGGAAATGATACGTAGTCCTGTAGATGAGTAATAACCGGGTGTTTGACCAACCGCAGGAGGTGAGGAGATGGAGAGCTGGGCCGAGCTGTCACTCCTGGGCTGGTTGGTGGTGATGGTGGTTACTGAAGGTAGGGACAGAGAGATGAAGGCAATAGTGGAAAAAGATAGGCGACTGTGCATTGACCTGCCTGGGAGGAGAGAGTGGAGCCACGGTCTGGAGGAACAGTCCTTCGGGGAAACACAAAACAGTAGCTGGCAAGGGGATAAATGCATACAAAAACAATGACAACGCACGGAGTAAGGTTGGCCTAGTGACTAGAAAGAACTGGCAAGTGACTGAGGAGTGAAACCGGGTAATATAGTGAGTGACCTAATCAAGTGCAGCTGGTGATAAGGGAGTGAGGAACAGGTGAACGTGATTAGTGTTAATGGGCAAGAGACAGTAGGAAAGGTGAGGGAGGCAGAGCGGCCGAGCAAACCTGACATATGCAGTTTTATTTTTCTGTCCACCTATACTGGACACTGTTCATGTAGATGCAAAAGTGTGGCTGTGATGTCCATGTGTAATGCTAAGAATGTGCAGTACAAGGCAATAGGTGGAATCAGTTTCAGGTCTATTTCAGTTCTGATACATTGTCAGATGACATTGATACAGTGTGTCTGTGTGTTAGAGAATTTCTCTGTATGTCTGTGCTATAGGAATGCTTTGTATTGTAAGATTCTAAAGTGATGGATCATCTACATCCCACACACATGTGGAAATATGTATGGAAACACACACTGCACTTTCTTTTATCTTCCTGCTGCCATGCTGTTTTAACAACCTACATTCAGACCAGTGCCCTTACATAAAAAGTAATATTAGATTTAGAATATTACTCCATTTCATACCTTCATATTTTTCTTGTTCTTTGCTCCCTTCATTTGTTTTCATTTTCTCTCCCTGGAGTTCTCTACCTCTCCCCCGATCAGCCTGCTTTCACCTCCTTTCCTTCCTCACTCCTGCCTCCCATCCTCCCTCACACATGTCCAAAATAACCCGTGTGCAAAAATGGATTACCTGGCTTTTTAAATTATTTTTGAAACATAATTTTTTGAGCCCAAGTAGAAACTCTGCAAGAGAAACTTACAGTAAAACATTGTGTGCATGAGTGTGTATTTGATGTCTGCAAAAATGGGCATGTAGACTTATGCATATGCAGTGCACCTGCTCCATTCGTCCTGCCCTGCTTTTGTCCTTTTCTTAGCTTAATGTCAATAAAAGCTGGTCCAATGTGCACACACACACACTCACCAAGTCCAGCATCACTCAATCATTCTCTTACATACACACACACACACACATATACAGTGGAGCACACACATATAAAAGTGGAGGAATCTGACAATGCATTAGAAATCCATTTGATTTCACCACATGGCTTATTTAAAGGTCATATGTTATGGTTCTTTTTAACAGTTAACTTAGGTCCCCAAAATGTGTTTGTTCATTTTCCAGCTAAAATACTACTGAGATCATACATTCTGGCATGAGTGAAAACCCCTCTGTCTCTGTGACTGTAGCTTTAAAAGCAAATGACTTACTGCCCCACACGACCCCCTTTGTGGAAGTGTCTGTGAGGTCGGTGACCCTCCCATCCAGTGTCCTTTTAATTTCCATCATAATGAAGGAGTCTCATGGCAACACAGGTGAAAGTGAGGCAGATTATGGAACTGAAAAGAGTTTTTGTTCTTTTGTACAGTCAAAAACAGAGCATTGACCATGTTTTGTTTTTAGCAAACTGGGGGCAACTGTGGTTCAGTGGGAAGAGCAGTCGTCTCCCAACCAGAGGGTTTGAGTTTTGAATCTCAGTGCCTGTAGTCCACATGTTTGAAGTGTCCTTGGGCAAGACACTGAACCCTCAAGTTGCCCCTGATGGTTAGAGCCATCAGTGTGAGTTGGCGCCGCAGATGGCTGCCTTGGTTTTGTACCGGAAACATACTTGACCAAATAAAGATGATTATTAGTATTATTATTAGCTGTGACATGTTGAGGTAGCAAGAAATCTCTGAGGTTCTCCTGGGCAGCAGCGAGGTTCATGTGAATGTTCAAAACTGATCAAAAAGTGAATTTTGCACAATAGCTGACCTTAAATTAATTAATTAAATTAATTAATTAATGCCTGTCAAAATTTGGCCCGTGGGTGCCTCTCATCAGCTGCAAGACTGTTTTGAGAGAACCAATTGGGACATTTTTGACCATCCAGACCTGGAGGAGCATACAGTGGCAGTCCTATGCTATATTAAATATTGCATAGATTCTGTTACTGTGAATAAGCGTGTCCGGGTCTGCTCCAACCAAAAACCCTGGATGACTAGAGAGGTTCGACAACTGTTACGGGAGAGGAACATAGCCTTTAGGTCAGGCGATAGGAATTCATACAGTTGTGCCAGAGCTAATTTGAGGAGAGGTATTCGACGGGCGAAACTGCATTACAAGCAGAGGATTGAGGATAATATTAGGACACATAACGCGCGGCAGGTGTGGCAAGGGATACAGCACTTATCCAATCATAGTTCAAACCTCGCTGCTGTCGACGGGGACCCTTCACTGGCGGAGGAGTTGAACCTCTTCTTCGCCCGTTTTGAGGTGGAGCCACCAGAGACAGGCGTATTACACTTACAGTAAAACATTGTGTGCATGAGTGTGTATTTGATGTCTGCAAAAATGGGCATGTAGACTTATGCATATGCAGTGCACCTGCTCCATTCGTCCTGCCCTGCTTTTGTCCTTTTCTTAGCTTAATGTCAATAAAAGCTGGTCCAATGTGCACACACACACTCACCAAGTCCAGCATCACTCAATCATTCTCTTACATACACACACACACACACATACAGTGGAGCACACACATATAAAAGTGGAGGAATCTGACAATGCATTAGAAATCCATTTGATTTCACCACATGGCTTATTTAAAGGTCATATGTTATGGTTCTTTTTAACAGTTAACTTAGGTCCCCAAAATGTGTTTGTTCATTTTCCAGCTAAAATACTACTGAGATCATACATTCTGGCATGAGTGAAAACCCCTCTGTCTCTGTGACTGTAGCTTTAAAAGCAAATGACTTACTGCCCCACACGACCCCCTTTGTGGAAGTGTCTGTGAGGTCGGTGACCCTCCCATCCAGTGTCCTTTTAATTTCCATCATAATGAAGGAGTCTCATGGCAACACAGGTGAAAGTGAGGCAGATTATGGAACTGAAAAGAGTTTTTGTTCTTTTGTACAGTCAAAAACAGAGCATTGACCATGTTTTGTTTTTAGCAAACTGGGGGCAACTGTGGTTCAGTGGGAAGAGCAGTCGTCTCCCAACCAGAGGGTTTGAGTTTTGAATCTCAGTGCCTGTAGTCCACATGTTTGAAGTGTCCTTGGGCAAGACACTGAACCCTCAAGTTGCCCCTGATGGTTAGAGCCATCAGTGTGAGTTGGCGCCGCAGATGGCTGCCTTGGTTTTGTACCGGAAACATACTTGACCAAATAAAGATGATTATTAGTATTATTATTAGCTGTGACATGTTGAGGTAGCAAGAAATCTCTGAGGTTCTCCTGGGCAGCAGCGAGGTTCATGTGAATGTTCAAAACTGATCAAAAAGTGAATTTTGCACAATAGCTGACCTTAAATTCATATTCTGGGTGTGTGTTTGGGTGACTCCTTGATTATGTATATACTTGAGGGAAAGGAGCACTTTGGACACTAAACACTTTGCAGAGACTGGAAGTCACTTATGGGGTCCAAAATTTATCAAATTTTTCAAAAATGAATGGGTGTAAGGTCAGAGCAAGTGTCGGGGGGGGGGGGTTACATTTGTGCTGCTCAATGCATTTTAATTCATGTCAGTGAGCTCCTGTGTGTGGGGAGAGGAGGAGTGATGGAGGGGAAAGTATGGATAAAGGAAAATCATTTCCTTACACATGTACCAATATTTTTCAAAGTTTCTTATTAAATTAAGTACAATATTAAACACAGTTCTGCTTTAGACTTATTCACATCCCCTCACTTGGCCTGAGTGGTCCATGTACTGCAGGAGGATAGAAGAGCCAAGGGAGAAAGGGAGGATAATCACATTTAAGAAAGGATGGTGGTAGTGGGTTAGCCTAGAGGCAAAGCGGATGACTGACGGCTAAAAGGTTACTGGCTTAATCTGAGACTTTGGTGCCTCTTTGAGACTGGCCGGTGGCTGTAATGACTGAAACAACAAACTGAAAAACACCTAAAGTTGGGCTTGAGCTGAATTTCTAGAGCCAGTTGTGCTGTTTATATAACATACAGTTTAAAGAAAACTACATCAATTTGTGCTGAAGTCACACGTTTCCCCTTCGCTCTAATGTAACATGTTTTGTAGTTTGCAATTTTAATAGAGATTACCACCAAGCTTGTTTTAACATCTATACATCCCTCTTTAAACCTGCATGTATTCACTTTTATCCACTTGTGGGTGGTACAACAAGCTGTAGACACATCATTGGTAACCGTGTATGCAGTTGATGAGACTAACGTGCTAGCTAGAGTGGCAATGCCTTATTTTCACATGGAAGCAGCAATAGCATTTATTTGAAGCTGTGTTTGTGTCCGCCTGTGACTACTGCCAAATGTCAACACAAAACACAAGGTGGAATATTTAATAACTTCGATCATAGTTTAAGTCACCATGCACCAGTGCACAACAGAGTTATGGATTGTAATGCCTTCCAGTCCCTGTAGCAGCTGCTACAAAAAAATTACAAGCCATTTTTATTAACAAACTATGAAAGATACTAAGGGGAAACATTTGTTGTAAGGTCACAAAATGAGGACAATATGCTGCTGCTGCAGGAACAGAGCATCACACCATCTTTATTGCTCCCTGTGCAGAAAATAGTTTCTTTCACTCCTCCCAGTCTGTTTCCACCCTCTCATGTCTTCATGGTGAACTCAGCTGTCAGGTTGAGCCAATAACAGGTTAAAATCTGGCATTTTTGACTTTTGAAGCTCTTGTGTACCTTTAATACGCACCACCACACTGTAGCATCTTTACATTCTGGAAGTAAACTTTGCTCAAGTAATTTCACTTCAGAGATACCAAAGCCTTGACCAATCTTCCTCGCTTGCCACAGATTCTCCTCTTGAAGATAGTAAATACACATAGATTTAATTAAGGTGGGAACATGTTGGGAGAAGTGGGGAGAGGTGGTTTTGAACTGTATGTTGGAGTAGATGGGGTAAAAAAGTTGAGAAAATGAGAAAGAGAGATTAGTGAGGAAGGCAGAATGAGTTATTTTAGATGGCAAATGTGTGCCAGAGCTATGGCCAGTAATCTCTGGTGAATCCATACTATGTCAGTCTTTCTTCTGCCGGCTCCTTTATCCATCTGTTCCCTCTGTCTGATTTTTTTTCTTCTAGTAGGAAGTTTGTTTTCGTTTGCCTCTCCATCACATGTGCCTTTGTCAGGATGCCGTTGCTCTGAGGCCCCTCTGGTAGTTCCCTTCCCTCTGCCCCAGCTCCTTTCGCCCACATTTTCTTTTCTTCTGGGCTGAGAGAAAAAAAGCAGATGACACAAGACAACCCGTAAGCGCTGCATCAGCACTGGCTGCCTCTGGAAAATAATAAAATGGTGGTATAATTCAGCACTGACAAAGAGCTAATGAGGGATGGAGGGGAAAGAGGGGGAGAGCGAATGGATGGGAGGAGGTGGGTGGTTGCAGGCGGTCTGTCATTCAGGTGAGACCACACTATAAACAAATGTCAAAAGAGCTCTTAATTTGCATAAAGCTCTCAAAGGGGAAGTTGAGTAATTTGAGTGTGATGTCATCTGGAAGCCATATTAGAGACCTGCATATTAAAGCAACAAGAGCTCATTTGTGAATCTTATTTTATTTAAAAAGCATGGCATAAAGTGGGTTTCAAATTTTAATTCATATTTTCAATTAAACAACCTGAGTATAAAAGCTGAATATTTGGAAAAATACTGAAGTATTGCAAAAACATTTTTGGCTAGATACATCAGGAAAATGCAGTGGAAACAGACTTGGTGAATTATTCACGATTGGCACGACAATGACCACTAAAGAGACTAAAATACATGTGTGTGGAGTGATGAGGACGCCTTCCTTAAAAATGCTACATTTCCATCATGGCTAAAACCCTGCCCCCTCTATGTTAGTTGATGGAACAGGAGACAACAAAAAAATTAAATGTACAAATTATACAAATTTTCCAGAGATGCTTTCTGTCACTTTAAGTCGATATTATCATACTGACTTGTGTTGAGTACGCTTGTTTTTAATCAGTTATTTGATGATATAAAAAGGGGTGTATTTCTGATGATTTCTTAGCTTTAATTGGTGGATTGATACACCAGCTCTGGTCATTACTGCATGCAATGTGGTTACAAAATGTGTCACAAAAGCAAGATGGCTATCACCTTAGTGCCTACACTTTACAACATTTCAAATAACCATGCTACTGTTTTGCTTAATGTCACAAGTATAGTTTCAAATTTATTAAATGGCTAATTAAAGCACGTGGCACTGGACTTTGTATTAAATATTGCTGATGTAAAGGCATAAGCAGTGCAGACAGGGACTATTTTCAGCTGGGGAGTAATATAGATTTGGTGCTCTAATGGGTATTTATGCTACAAGTGGGGTTGGTTGAACGGTGCCCATGTTCATGGAAACAAAGCAGCATGTTGTACAACCTCACCCATGAGTGTGGCTCACTGATGTGAGTCTTTGGTTTCTGTTTACATAGTTTGCATTTTTGGGGTTTTTGGTTAAAAAATACAAGATCACCAGTGACTGACTTTACATCTGTTGCTATGTACATAGTTAGCATTTTTTGATTTGTGTTGCTGCCACATCTTAGTTCCGTGTGTTTATCAAACCCTTTGCTGTTTTTCTCACATTTAAAACTTCACGTCTCTTAAAAAATGGATGTCTGCTTCATTTTTGAACAAGTCCAAAAAATGAGACCATCTTCCTTCTCTGAAGTAGAGCGACACCGCTACCAAGCAGAGGTAAGTCACTGTGAATTTAGGTTACACTGTATACCGTATTTTCCGGACTATAAGTCGCTCCTGAGTATACGTCGCACCAGCCAAAAAATGCATAATGAAGAAGAAAAAAACATATATAAGTCGCACTTTTGGGGGGAAATTTATTTCATAAAATCAGAGACCAAGAACATACATTTCATCTTGAATGGATGTGTCGGTCATCTTGAGTATCCTCCGCTTTTCGCTAGTCCCACACACCTCGTTCACTCCAAACTTTCTTTCTGCTGCTCGATTAACGTTTTCGGCTGCATATTTTACTACTTGATTGATTGATTTATTCTTTCAAACATGCAGAACAGAACAAATGAACAAATGACAACAACACACATAATTACACATATCCAACCAATGCTAATTCAAAATCAGTTTGCTTACACCTATTACATGTTTGAATGGAGTAGGAAGAAGTCAGACTTATCCAGTCCTACCCCATGACATCATATTATACAAAATTTCATGCATCATTGGCTGCAAGCAGTATCTCTACATAGATAAAACAGAGTGTTTCCTTAATGCCTTCTCGAATAAATCTTATTCTTGCATATATCTTGTATAACACATACATTTATATTTATGTTTAAACTCCTCAATTCTAGTACTATTTTTCATGTCCACACTTAAATTATTCCATAATTTGACCCCACTTATAGAAATACAAAATCTTTTTTTGGTTGTACGTATAGCATGAACATTTAAATTTAACTGACCCCTTAGATTGTATCCCCCTTCCCTTTCACCAAATAACTTTTGGATTCCACCAGGTAATAAGTCGTTCCTGGCTTTATACATAAACACAGCAGTCTTATATTCCACCAAATCTAAGAACTTCAACAATTTGGACTGTATGAAAACTGCATTTGTGTGATCCCTATACCCCATCTTATGTACAACTCTTATCGCTCTCTTCTGTAATATGTACAATGGTTGAAGTGAACTCCTGTATGTATTTCCCCAGTTTTCAACGCCATACTCCAAATATGGCAAAATCAATGAAGAATACAAAATGCGCAATGCTTTAACGTCCAGCATATATCTAACCCTTGCCAATATCGATATATTTTTAGCTATTTTATGCTGAACATGTCTGATATGAGATTTCCAGGATAATCTGTCGTCAACCATGACACCCAGAAATTTGATTTCATATACTTGTTCAATGTTGGCACCCCCAATTCTCAATTGAAGTTCATTATGTGGTCTACGGTTCCCAAATACCATATATTTAGTTTTCTCCAAGTTCAAAGATAGTAAATTACTATCACACCATTTCTTTATCTTCACAAATTCCTACTTGCAGCTTGTAATCTGTAGAATATGATTTTCTTTTTGGGGGCATTTGTGGTCAGTCTTTCTCAGTTGTCTTTATAGGTTGATGTTTACATTTTCGGTGGTACAGTAGTGATAGGCGCGTAGATACTGGCACACAAGCCGAGAGCGCCCTCTCACGGCTGTCAGTGTGAAAATAACGAACATGTGAAATTTCAATCTACGGTAATCTTAAAAAAAAAACATACATAAGTTGCTCCGGAGTATACGTCGCAGGACCAGCCAAACCATGAAAAAAAGTGTGACTTATAGTCCGGAAAATACGGTAATAATCTGTTTTTTGTGAGCTGATTCAAACTGTACCATGATCAATGTGTGTTGTAGAAAATGATGTTGAGGCAGTTTATGCTCATGAAGCAACAAGATCAAGTTCCTGATGACTTATCTGTCAGAGACATGAAGTCCTGGCTGCTAACAGGAAGACGTTTCCTGGAGGAGTGAGTCACACTGCTCCTGACTGATTTGACTCACGCTCTTATGGAAAACATTTCACTTTTATACAGATGTTTACAAATTATATTAGATGGATAACAAAGTCTTTATTTTCACAGGTTTCAGGAAATAATTGTAGAGGACTGCAGAGACCTGTTCATGGCTGAACTGGTAAGTAAAACAGAGAGGATCTTAAGACTTGAGCTTTATATCTCTACATGATTTAGAATTAGGCAGCTATCGGCTACATTATCTTGGTGCTGACACTGAATGATGTTGACAGGCCTGGACCACAGCGAGACACATGTGTCTCAATCAGATGGAACAAGAGCTCCTGGAAGAGCTGAGCAAAGAGAAGCAGCTTTCACAGCTGTTCAACAGGCAGGTCACACTGGAGGGCCTTCAGATGTTCCTCTCAGTCCTCCGCCCAGCAGCAGAGCAGGCTGTACACACCTGCCTTCCACGTCTGAACAGAAAGCTGCTGAGAGTCTTTAGTGTTACTCCGATCACCAGCGGTCCACTCTCTGATGAGGACACTAAAGCGGTCGCGCTCATGGAGCTGGAACAGGTGACTGCAGCCCTGGTACCAGAGTTGGTGGACACTGTGCTGAAGTTCCTCCTGGACAAACCAGAGCAGGAGAACCAGAGTGAAGCTGCCAGTGCTGAGATTGGCAAACTGCTGGCTAACTCAGCAGCTGCCTGCCTCTGTCAGTTTGGGTCAGTTCCTGTGATGCCTCTGCTTGATGTCTGCACCATGGCAGCCCAACGCATGGTCAAAGCCATCTACAAGAGGTATGTTGACCGGTCCAGGTCATTCCACCTGATGGACTATGATGAAAGCTCTTTTGTTGCCAGAGAGGGTGTCATCTCTGCCATCCAGGACATGGACTACACTGTGGAGACTGACACATCCAGCCAGGCCGACCTTCATCTCGGTATCTCAGACAGGCTGAAAGAGGAACTGGAGGAGAAGAGGGAGGCTTCTCCAGAGATTTCCCATGATGACAATGTGGCTGGCGGGGGGGCCGGCCTGAGCACATCATTGATCAGACTGGAAACCAATGATCAGCTGGTAGCACTGCAGCAGGAGGAAGTGGATCTGTCTGTGACAGAGGAATCCTCGGTCAAGGACTGTGACGTTAAGAAAAAGGGAGGTTTCTGGAGGATGTTAACATACTTTTTTCATGCTCAAACTAAGGAATGATTAGTCTGTAATAACAACATCACATGCATGAAGTAAATATTCATTTGAATTCAGTAACCATTGTTCCTGTATTTATTGTGTTTTTGTGTCAGTTTCAGAAATATTATAAAGGAGTGTTAAAGCATTCACAAAACCATTGCATACATGATAGCTCAGCTGCTTTGAATAATTAAAATCATTTAATTGATGCAGATTACACCATAAGTGTTGGTGATACTAGCCCTGGTATCAGATCTGAACCAAATAATGTAGTAGTATTGTGTCATATTCCACATTTGGTTAAAGTAATGAGTGCGTGATCCATCTGGGTTGAAAGTCCTTTCTGCATCTCTGCTAGTCTCCACTGAACATATCCTTGATAAAACATCCACGTCTGTGCTTTTGTCTGTTGCAAATTAGTACCTTCCATCTGTTTATAGCATTTGTTATTAATCTGAGAGCAAGTGAGAGGGGAAAGCTGTCATATCTTTAATGCATAAGGACTTTTAAACACACCAGAGGTTGCAGTACATTGAAGATGGTGTGTGGCTAATGAAGTGATACACACAAAACTAACAAGATGTTGGTGTCAGCTTGACCTTGTGTCACTAGCTATTTGTTACACAACCAACAAATTAAAGTACCATGCTCACATGCAGAAGTGAGTAAGTTAATACAGCTTTGCAGCCTTTTGAGAGGGAGAGGACGACCTTTACAGATACAGCCATAAGACAGAGCCATGAGAGGAAAGCCTTCGAGGAAGACAGTGCAACGTGGTTCAAACACCAGTTTTTAAACTTGAGTCCGTTTGCAGACTCAAAGACACCCCAGATGTCAAAGTCTAAACGTGCCTTTTTAATATGCAGCCTCATGCAACAGTTTGTCTCTATCACACTCTGCATCTGATGCCAGCAGCAACGTCTGCAAAGTTGAAAGCAGGAGAGTGAAGGGGAGGGGAGGAGGCAGAGATGGTGATCAATAAAAGTAATCACTTCCATTGACAAGCATGACTGCCAGCATTACAGGAAACAGTGACGTCATAAAGCACCTTCTGCAGGAGACGTCTGCACACAGACATGCAGTACAGAGAGACAGCGACAGAGGAAGCATGAGGATGATGCTTTTAAAACTATACAGTTTAAGGAAGGAAAAGAAATGTGACAGAGATTAATTTCACAAACATTAATTTCAACCAAAAACTTGCACACACACAGCAGATCATCCAGTCCCAGCAAACATGATGACAGGACCAAACTAATGAGAACCCCAACAGAAAAAAGTGCTTGTGTCAAGAACAGCAGGGGAAACACTCAGCGTGAGGAAGGACTCAGCCAGATGCTCTGTGGTTTTTCCTCTCGTGAGCCTGGAGATGAGAGTACCTTTACATTTTCTGGCCAAGCCACAAAGTTAAGAGTATTGATCCAGAATCAATGAGTGTAAAAATCATCTTGGCATCTTTCTTTCCGCTTAGAGACAAACATCCGGGGCCTCATTTGTTTAAGGCATTCATACTTTACACAATGAAGGAGATTGGTTTCAGTTTCACAAATGCTATTTGAGAAAATGTGGCTCACTGATATTTCACAGCATTAAATTAGAGTTGCAGCTCAGATGTGTCACAACACTGGCTGAGGCCCCAGGTGTCCAGAGAATTTAAAGCAGAGCTGACCTTTGCTAGAAGCTGAAGCTGCATAGCTTCTCGGCTATGATTCTGTCCAAATGCTGTTGATCATCTGAATAAGATGTTCTCTTTGGAAAGTGCTCTTTGGTTAGGAGACAAAAATGCCCTTTCACATCATTGCAATCATTGCATAATGAATCGGTCAGTCAGCACATAACAAAGATGATATGACTGAGTGTAGTGTACCATATAGAAATTTAGATTAGGATTTTTGGTAGACTGGTGTCCAGTGGTTACAGTCTACCTCCAGCTGCACTTAGGCTCAGCAAGTTAAGGGCTAATGTTAACTTGTAATATCACAGGTAGTTTTTTTTTTTCATTGCTTTCCAAACTGACCCATGTTCTCTGATCAGGTGCTCACATTAGCAGGACAACTCAGTATGTAACTAACTTCCCAAATGACGTATGGTCATTAAAAATGATCAGTGTTTTCTGATCTGCAACGTCCGCAGTCAAGGTTTTGGTAAGTTTTCTTAGAGACAGCAGTCATTGTCTGGCCATATGAGAAAGACAAACACAGACTGCTTTAACAGTTTGACAAAATGACCAGTGCTCCTGTTCTTCTGGCGAGAACAGTCTTGCACATCAATAGCTATACTGGTGTGCTGACATTTAAAGGGGGACTCCTTATACTGCACTTTAAGTAAAGCTAGGGAACTTGTGAATTTCAAGGTGACTGTTTTTATTGCGGATAGAAAAGCAATATAAGGTGCTGTCCAACTACAGAAGCTATAGGCTTAGTGCATCACCAGAGTGTCAGATGAAGGCTACTTCCAATGATATGTATTGGTGCTGTCCCACCAATAAGTTTGCAGGAATGTGGGAGCATTTTCCAGGACTGTAAAGGCCTTCCTGTCCAGCTCCTGCTCTTCTTTTCTAGTCGATCAGTGACCGAATATCTTCACTACCTTACCTATTCACCTCGCCCCAGTGTCACTGCATTAGCACCCACATCAACGGCCTGTTTATGGCTCCCTGATCTCTAAATGGCTGCCATTTATGGGTTTTTATCCAAGTGGCAGAGACAAACATCAACATCTGCCTGTAAAGTAAAGCATCTGCATTTTTGTTTAACTACCAGATCTGAGGAGACAAAATGTTCAACAGTAAGGTTCCTTAAACTAACCTCGTTTCTGAGTGATATTTAGAACAGCTATGCAAACCTGCAGGAGATTCACAGTAGCTAGAGAAGTCGTAAAATGGTCAGAAGAGGGACTTAATCAAGAATTTTACAAGGACTTCAATATGCGTCAGTCAGTCAGAACTGAGAGCTATCAGCTTAATGATGTGAGATGGGGTCATAATGAGGACTTGTGATTTTGCAGCATAGCCAGAAAGGAATCTGTACAGTACAAGGGAAAAAGCTGGGGAGACACCTGCGATGTGTGACCTGCATGAAAACCATGCTGGGCTCCCTCCTGGTTGTCCTCCCTTTCTCTTGCCCTGAAAACTCTTAGTACATGTGATTCAGTAATGGAGATTAATGCACACTGGCACAGGAACAAGTTCAACACACACACACAGGGTTGTTGGTGAGAAAGGCAGACAGTGTGAATATGCTGTGAAACAATAGACAATGTGTGGAGGGTTTGAAAGAAATGGGCACAGAGATGAAAGAAACAAACAGGAAAGTGCTACACTAACCAGTCCCTGGAAGCCAACAGGGATTACACCACACATGACTCACACACATCTGAAAACTGTGTGTCCATAGTGTGATGTGATAAGGAGGTCAAGGTTGCAGATGTATCATAGCTGCACTGAGCATGGTGGGGCCTTTTTGTTCAGACTCTGAAAATAGGTCTGGGGCATGAAAGATGTCAGAGGGACACACACAAAACCACTGACTACTGTTTTGTGTGTCAGGTGAACACATGTCCCCGTTCAGCCCCAGTTTCTCTGTGACATACAGCCCAGTCTGGCCTCATTTGCACAAACATACACATCTTTATAGCCACAAACAAACAAGCAGGCTGCCTGAGGGCTGAGGTCACAGTGGCCTATACTAGTGAGGACACATGTAACGTGCAGGTAGAGGACGAGGACAGGGACACCTGAATCTGCTGAGTAAACAAATACATTTTTATGGAAGTCATTTTGAAATATAAATGTAAAAAAGTTAAGTTGTGTATTTATCTTAAATGTCTGTAATTTCAGTTTTAGTGTTTTTTTTGTTTGCTTGTTTTACATTCGTATCTTGGTTGTAAGTTTCTATCTCAGTTCAGAGGAAAAGGAAATCTTTTATTGTGTTTTATTATCCATTCCTTGTGCTTTTTGGCCAGAAGCAGGTCTCTTCTTTTTCTCGGTATTCCTTAGTAGCGGTTTCTTTGCAGCAGTTCTACCATGAGGGCCTGATTCCTTCATTCACTTTCTCTAAACTGGTAATGTTGAGATGTGTCTGCTAGCTGAACTCTGACAATTATAGAAGTATGGGTGTGGGCTCTAATCTCAGGTGCTGTCAAATCATGATTTTGGAGGCTGAAAACCGTTAGTCCTCATCCAGATTTTCCCTCCAGCTCTGCCCTGCCTCCCATTCTATCATCTAGTCGTGACTGCCACACTCACCACACCTGCTGTTATTTCCCTGATTAGTTTTCACAGTATAGTACAGCCTATTTAGTAGTGTTTGGGTGCATCTCAAGGATCTTATATGATTGCTCCTTTCGCATTGATCCTTGTTTGACTGGAATAAGTGAGGATCAAAGATGTCCAAAGAGACTTATCCCTGCTCTGAAGAGTGGGGTTCGATGAATGAGGAGGCTACAGGAGGAGACAGGAGTAATGATACAAGAGACCATCCTTTGCAGAAAAAAATCTTTCAGCCATATAACAGACTCTGGATATACCTTGTGGCCTTTGTTTCTTTGCAGGATTATCTGATATGCTCATTGTATTTTCCATGCTGTTAGCCTCAGTATTCCAGCCTTCTGTGTGTTCCTAGTGTTGTTTTGTGAATTTCTCCTGGCTGGGCTCTTTCCTCATGTGTTTGACTTTACTTGATAGCCTGTCTGAATTTTCGAGCCTCCCTCTTTATTTGATGAGAAAAGCACAAATGCACCAAGTTTCATTTTTTTTTCTAGTAGTGGTCAAGACATTTAACTAAAAACACACTGTCCTCATGGTAGTGCTTCAGACATGAGAGGAGACAGCCATTAGCAGCAGCAGCTGGTTCTTAGCCTCGATTGTGGCACAAACTATTTGAACTCCTCCCCTCTGGATGGCGCTACAGGTCACTGTACGCCAAAACAACCAGACACAAGGACAGTTTCTTCCCCCGGGCCATCACACTGATGAACACTTAACCCATGACTGTATAAGAGAACGACAACCCTCAGTGCAATACCTTGTAAATATACTTTTGTATATATTTATCTGGCAAAACTGCTTCTAAAATGTGTTTCTATATTTATAAGTACTTTATTTTTATTTCCCTAATACAAATTCCTTGTTCTTGTTTGTACATTTTTTCTTTTTTTATTCTCCCAGTCTTATTTTGTTAACTTGTCTACTCATTGTTTTACAGAAGAAGATTGTACATATACATTGAGAGTCACTGTACCAGAGTCAAATTTCTCGTGTGTCCAACACACCTGGCCAGTAAAGCTGATTCTAATTTTGATTAACATTGTCAGTTTCTCAAATAAATTATTATTAATTATTGAAATGCTATTATTGACATGTTATTCTTTGTTTTACTTTTGAACATTTTAATATGAATTAAAATGCTGTTATACTGTATGAAATTAACCACAACACGAGTCCGTCTTGTATTTTCTTGCCTAATGGGAGCCTTCCCAGCTGGGCCCTTGAAGAGACATACATACAGCACAGACACTCAGGTTGCCATGTGGACCAAAAGGCATTTTCCCCATAGTGACATAAGCAGTTGACAGAACACCTAAAACTACAAACTATAACTGTCTTATGGCTTATTGTTGACTTGAAACTGCTCTATTCATTAAAGTATAAGATCAAATATACAGTATGTGTATATGCTCACTGGACATACTTACCCATTATCCCCTTCTGGTCATTATCATATTGGGCATTGGTATTGTAGCTTCACTGGTCCAGCAGATGGAGACAATGTGACAACAAGGAGTCGTCACTAGTTGCTAGGAGGCTAAACTAGCCTCATGCCACTTTTTTATTTTTCATGCATTGCTGTCACATAAAGAAGTGGAAATAGTGAGGAAAAAATGAGAATGCATTTACATTTAGCATTTATGCAAGTGTTTAGAGTTTAGTTTGAAATCAAAGGTTTGTTTTGTTTTTTTAGAGGATTTTTCTGCTTGGTGAGAAAAGAGACAGATGAAGAAACCTGGAATCTTTTTAAGTGAATGGAACTGTTGGACTCCAAACTTAATGCATCACACTTGACAACATCTTGCAAGTCCTCAGGGGCCTGTAGCCCCTCTGGTCAGTGGAGCTGATCCTCTGATGGCCAAAGCCCACAATAATATGCGGCTGGACTCCAGTTAGATGATATATATTTAACAAGCTCACTCAGAGTCTGGACCATCACATCTGTAAACCACACAATCCAGTGAGTTCCTCACTTCATAATCTGCTTAACAGACATCAACAGACTGCTGCTGTCAGTATCTGCACGCTGGGAAGTGATATGATGTGTGGTGTTTATGGCAAAAACATCTGTGCCATCATCACATAACTAATGACAGACAATGGATACATATTTCTAAATGTCTGGGATCACCTGGGGATGCCACAAATTATTCATAATTATTCTTGTTTTGCCTAATGTTTAAAACTTTACAGCATTAAATAACTTGTGACAAAAAATACTTGAAAAACTCGAGTTCAAACATAATGAGCATTGTCTCAGATTTGTAACTGTTAAATGATGGGTTTTATGGGTGACTTCATTTATTTGCTCTGTGTCCAACTTTCTCAAATTAAACAAAGTTCAGCATTCTCTAATGTTGCTTAATCAAGGGTTGGACTGTAAAAAACCCATGTGCCCCTACTGTATAAGGTTTAATCAGTGTAAATCAGCAGAAAGGCTGAACCAGTCTCAAATCTCCATGGGGTTTCTAAGTTTCTAAATATCAAAGTAATCTCCAGAATATCACACTGTAAAAGATCCTAAAAGCTTAAGTAGGGAAAATAATTTTAATGTTGTTAGAAATAAATCTAGCAAAAATATTGTAGAATATTCTGGAAAATCTTTGTACTGTGAAAGAAAGTATTGTCTCTTGATTTGAAACCCATCTGAAGACCTGCCAATATCAAACCTCATCTTCTAACTGTCATGAACAATTGTAACTAACACTGTTGTCAGTAGTCCACGGGTCTCCTGCTCCTTCATGGCAATACCTGGAGTTAACTCATTTGAAATTATGCATTAGTTGGTTGTAACTATGGTGAAAGTTTTTATTGGCTATGGAATCAATGTTTGCCACTGATTTGTTTGTTTGTGTTTTTTAACAAGTGACAAATCACTTCTCTGCATCTGCAGGGATAGTGTTAGCTCCTAAAACACCACTGCAGTGAGGTACTGTGTACTTAAAGGTAGTGTTCTGTATTCAGTGTGTAGACAAAACGGAGGAAGTGTCAGCAACACTCCATGCGGCTGGATTGTCCTGGCCCTTATCTCTGACCTTTCTCTGGGCAAGAGAAAAGAGCACACTGAAGCACAGAAAGGCCTTTGGTTCCTACAGCATGCTAAATGTGACCAATGTCTGTAAACTTTAACATTCTGGTGGCATGGATTTGTGTGTGAAACATCAGCCTGGAGCATCCTATTGTTCTCCAAACAGTGTGATGGTGCAGAGCAAACTAATGTGATAATCTCTCTGTACAAGCGCTGTCCTGGAGCGCCCTCTGTTGGCTCGCATGTGCCACAACTTCCATTAAATCTCATATGGCAGTCACTATAAACACAATTTACAGAGATGTTTTATTATCCCATTCCTTGGCATTTTATGATAGTGGAAACAGGATTGCAAGCATAATGAGAGGATTTCCACAAAATGTGATTTGAAACGTAGTCATTTATTTCATGCTAAAGCTTGACAACTGATCAATATAAACCCCCAGAAAATAACAGCAATAAATACCGCAAATCAGCTGATACAGAGAAAATAATTTGCACTTATAAGAACTCAAGTAATCAAAGAGATATGAAATTCAATTTCAAAAACTGTGGAGTGATTCAGTACTGATGTTTATTTCAGCACCGAGTGCAGACCAGAGTACATCTGTTGAGATAGCAGTGAAAAGGTTACTGTGTTCTCAAGTAGAGAACTGATTAGAGAGATACAGTGGGTACATTCATCATATTTAGTGTATTATTTATCCACAGCAGTTGAATGAATCTTAAGTAGAATCACCAGAAGTTTCAGCACAAAAATATAAACACAGTAGAGCACAGCAAAGACTGATATTTGGGAGTGTCACCTGTGTTTAATGCAATCCCTGGACAGCAGATAGTGACCCCTTAAACTTAAAGTAGGCATTTCCATAGGGGGCTTCATTGCATATCAAAAAACAGCCACATCGTAAAATTATCAGGATTTGATAATTCTCCACAAAGATTTCATATGCTTGAAAAAAAATAAAAAATCACAGATTGTATCCAGTGTCTAGTCATCTCTAACTAGGCCCATTAAGGTACACAGTGAGACACACACCTGCCGCATTTGGCACTTCAACACTCTCTGTCAAACATCAAACACTGAGAAAGTACCTTTACGCTGCCTATACCTTCTGATGATTGGCTGTGATTTTCTCTTCAAAACTGGTGCGTGACGACAATCATGGCCCATATTGGAAAAGTGCTGAAAACACCCAATTCTCTAAAGCCTGGCAGCTGAATACACGCCCTGCCTATACATCCTGCAACAACGCGCTTTGGTTTTCCTCAGGTCCATTTTGTGCACACACTCGCACAACAATTACAGACAGACGCTAGAAAACATTCTTTCAGTAGTAAGCACATAGAATTTGTAGAGCCAGACTCAGAACCATTCATACACCTGTTTGAGTGAGAAACATTTCACCAGTATCTTAAAAAAGAAAAATGAACAGAACTAACTCCCGTCACCTTAATATCTACGTAAACTTAATCATAACAATCATGCCTGTAGTGTTTTGTAACCTGCCTATATACCAACAATGGAAAAAGCATTTTAGTGCATTGTAAATCCAATTTAATCCAAGTTTATCTCCCAGTTAGTTGCAGATTAAGTTCAAACAAGACCCACAACGCTAATGCAAATGGAAAGGAGAACACTACTGCTTGTCTGGTTATACTTGTTGCAGCTACTCTATTTACTGACTATGCAGCTTGTAATCAAATCGGCTGACTGGCACTGCAGCAGTGTGGTTGTAAACCTAAAGTTGGCGTAGTACCAAGTTTTAGAAGCTTTTTTATGGTTCACTGCTGAAAGACAGAAAGATGCCAACTCTCTGGGGAGAAATCTAGATAGGATGAGGAAGGGAAATGAAAGAGCTGCATGAGGGGGAGATAGAGGCACTGCATTTATCTGCATACATTCTTGTTTTGTTTGCCTAAAAAGTTGCTTAAATCATTTAGATCTAACTTTACTGACTGTGGTAATTCAGAAGGGATATTCTTAGCTGACTGTAGCTGACTCGTAGCAAACCTAAAGATCCTAGAGACCTAGAGATGAGTCCATTTCTGTCCTGTCCTCAAACTGAACACTAAAGTGGACGTTTTGATGTAGTTGAAGTATCTATTACTGTATGTAATTTAAAATTTACTTGTAGATGTATATAGCGTATATCTCTATGATGGATAATGAGCACTTTCCATCAAATTGCCTCTGAATTCTAGTGTAACCAAGAGGAGAAAATGTGGTGATGTTTGGGGATATGCAAGGCATGTTTTTGCTTTTGCTCTTTGGTACATTCCCTTACCCAGTGAAATGTAAGTGGCATGAAATATAGTTAAAGGGGATCATATACTGTACATTAAAAATAAAATAAGTATTATGAATACCTGAGAAGGATAGAAAACAGTGAAGAAGATGCTGTTAATTGAGCCGTGGGAGTCAAAAAAAAGAGCATTAAACTGTAGCTGGAAGAGAAAAGAGACTTGGCAGTAGTGCTCACAACATTACATTCAGTTACATCAGCCACACCTTGGTTTTCTTTTCTAATTCAACCATTGTCCACTCTGATCTGCAATAAAAAGGGGAGAAATGCAGCAATCAATGACACCTTTCTCCCTCTGTCTTTAGAGGTGTAATATCTGAAACACCTAGGTGTACATGTGCACACAGAACACACACACACATTCTCCGCGTTGATCTCCAATGGACCTATTTCACACGAATAAAGCTGGCCCTCGTCTTTGTAGCACCAGCTGATAAGTCTTGTTAAGGCCAGCTCGTTAGGCGAGGACCGTCTCCGTGGCAACAGCTCGGTGACATCACATCTGTTGTGCAATGTCTGCTAAACTGGATTTCATTAGTCAGTAGCAGGACGTGTGTGTTTTTGGTTTGAAGTCAGTCAAGCAGCAAGGCTGTGTTGCACTGTTCAGCCTAACGATGATGAGCAGGAGGAGTGTGTTCGGTTTCAGGCCTGCTGTGTTCTGAAGAGAAACACCTGCCTGGGTTTCTGATGTGTCTCAGAACATTTGCAAAGTGTGTTTGTCACCTTAACACACATTTCTACAGATCTTCTCTACTGTGTGTCTGCATCAGTAGAACTTGTCATCAATGCGAAAGTGTGGCCTAGTGACATCATCAGGGTTGAGGAAGACGGATATAGATTTCCCAGGGTTCTCCGTGACCAGCTGTTGCAGCCGCTGCGCCAGCTTATCCTCTGAAGGCGAGATGATGCCATTGGCTGGGTGATGCCCGGGGGATCCATGACCGTTGATGCTAGCTGTTAGCTCCTTCTTCAGCTGTCCTGCCTGCTGAGCTTGGTCCAGAGCAGCCCGAAGGTGCTCACTGGGATCTGAGCGCATATGGGCCAGCTTTCTGGCAACAAGCAGTGCCTGGCCGTCTGTCAGGTGCTCCAACATGTTGCACTGAGGCAGGAAGTAATTTGGGCAGTTTTTACCCAGGATGCAGTGAGCCAGGTCATCTAGAAGACCCAGGAAGAGGCGACCAGGAGTGTCAGCATCAGGGCAGCACAAGTAAGCAGCAGGAAGTCGGTCACAGGCCCAGAAAAGCAGAGTGCGTAGATGATAGAGGCTGAGGCCTGCACGAGGACGGGCCAGGATACGAGACAGCACTGCCTTGGCTGCTTGGAAAGCCTGAGCCATGGGGAAGGGGATGCACTTCTTCAACTGAACCTGGTAATAACAGAAGCAGTGGTCTAGTGAGATAAGCAGGGACAGGACTGCAGATTCTCCAGGAGTGTTAGAGAGAGAGGGACAGACAATGGGATGAAAAGAAAGACCTTGGGCAAAGGAATAAGACAAAACCAGAGGGACATATGGTACTGATGCTTTAACCTAATACAATGTGACACCAAACTTGACAGAAAAAATGTTACATTAACAATCCCCCTCACCTCGCTGCGTGAGAATGCGAGCCTCCACTCCCTGTCAGGCCGGCCACCCAGTGGGGAGCAGCAGGGCAGCAGGTAGAAGCCTGATATGGCCTCCTCCTCTGTGATTTTACCATCCCAGAAGTGGTTGGCAGTCAGCCAGCTTTGGGCCACAGCAGGCCAGCCCCGAAATGACACCACAGGCAGCAGGTCGTAGAGCACCCGGCTAGAGCCTGCCTGCAAGGAGGAGGGGGAGCATAAATAATATACTATCATTGACTCTGTACTGAGTTTCTTTTCCTCTTAAAAACATTATTCAATTATTTTAACATTCAACTCCTAAGGTGCTCCAATATTGATTTCATCCCACAGAAATGTGCTTTTTAAATGAGCAATTTGCGAGCTAAACTCGTCAGTTAAGCGTTCTGATGTTCCCTATCATTTCAGACATAATGAGTCCAGCTGCCTACGTTTTAGCATCATATCCACAAGGGAACAAGTACCTGTAGGATGATGGTAGTGAGGGGTCCATTCCTCTCTAGTCGATCCGGGGTGGGGATGCCTCTCTGGGGACTGCGCCTCAGCTCCTCTACGGCCTCGCTCACCACCCCCCAGAACCAGTCTGTCACCAGGCTGGGAGAGAAATAGCATCCATCCAGAGACTGAGGAGAGCCCAGGGAGGGGATGGAGCCCTTACCTGAGCAGGAGAGAGAGGGAAGCGGAGGGTTAAATGCTGCGTCTCCCCATACAGATTCATTTAGTGTCTTGCAGTCACAAAGCCCAACGATCCTCAAGTGATGGCTAACATCCAGCAGGTGCTTAGCCAGAGCCAGACAGGACGCGGGAGGATTGGACTATTCTGCACTTCATAAACTTCTTGTGCATTTTGCTCATGTGGCTCAAGTCTGTCAACTACAAATTTGCCCCATCCTGCCACCACAAACACAGTAATATGACATCCTGTGGGAGGACGTGGGGAATGTTTCCACTTGCTGAAAACTAAAGAAATTCATATCAATAAATGTCATTGATTTTTCTCATCTTGGAGGTTTCACACTCGCAAGTACTCCAGAAGCTACAGAATAATCTTGAACTCGCCATTAAGTTACACTCATAAATGTTTCACTGCTGATTTCCCGAGGAGGCTTTTATCATCCCGAGGAATGGGCGTCTGTGGCAGCTTGCCAGATAAATTTGGATCCCAACATCATCATGCATCAAATTATCCGAGTGAAACATGAACAAAATTCAATCAGTTCTCATTCCTTCCCCCACATACTGTTATAGAACCTTTGTTATTGTCTCTCCTGCTCATCTTCTCCCTCTTATCTCATTTTTCTATTTTACATTCTTGCTTACCTATCCTCCTTCCACCTTGACCTAATCTTTTTGTATTATCCCTGCTGCTCTTTTTTCCCCTCTTCATCTATGAATCTTTTCTTACCCTTTTCCTTGCCCACATTATCAATTTCTCCTTCACATTTCTTTCTGTGCAGTGATTATTCTACTTGTTCTCCTTACCCATTACCCCTTCTTCCTCCTCCTCCTCTTCCTCAGGTGGAAGTTCATTCTCCTCCTGGCAGCAGATGCTCCAACGAGACAGGATGTTGGAGTCACAGAGTCGGAGACTGAGCCACGAGTGGCAGGGTGGGGAGTGTCTCATATCCAGGGTGACCGGCTGGTTGCGATCATGGAGCTTCAGGGCGGGCACCAGCAATGTGAAGTCGAGGTCAAAGTCGGCCCCTTTGACATAGTCTCCCAGGTCCTCAGGGTTGAGATCCAAGACCCCTTCCCGGGCCCCACCTGACAGCAGCAGGTACTCATTGGCCACCGGGAGGCGCTGGTCCACCTTCTGGACTAAGCCTGGAAGGGTTGGGGGTGAGGAAGAGACCTGAAAATCAGTCCTACTTAGCAAAATTCTTAATCAAATCATTTGTATGTGTGTTTCCACCAGCAGAACTGTTACAAGGATGAGCAGAAAGGTTTCAAGAAGTGCTCGCTCGCCGATGGATACTCAGATGCACAGACAAGCTTGAGTATGCACACCTGCTCTGGAAAACACACTGGGTCAGTAAACAGGAGGTCTGCAAGCGACTGAGCCTGGAAAATGTCCAGGTTAGTGTCTTTTGGCTGCATATATTTATGAGCCTGAGCTGCAGTGATATTGACACAAGGAGGAGTGTGAAATTAAAAGCTCTGTCAATGACCGCTAGGTGAGACTGATAAATTCAGAGGCTCACCCATAGTGCACGTGTGCTCAATCAAGCCTGCATTTTGACTCCCTTAAACTGTGTAGTCTCTACGAGCACAATGCAATTAGACTGTGACTGGCAGGGAGAGTTGTCCTATAGATCAAGAGGAAACAGACAAGATAAATTACTGAATTAATGTAATGCTTCCAGCTTATAACAACTTGGACCATATTTTTGTGTTGTGGTTAGTTAATTGTTGAGTTATGGGACCACAGCAATATCACTAAAGGGAAATCTGATGACACCATCATTTTCCACAGTGCTAAAAAGCCTTCCTCACTCTCCTCTCTGTTAGAAATTAACCCGTTCTTTTGTTGGAAGCATGAGAAGTGACGACAGGAGAGGACTGTTTAAAATCAGCAGAAAGTTTACTGAATGTCTGATCACAGGTAGGCCTTACAGTGCTGGGATCAGAGAGACAGAGCTTCCGCCCGAGTTCCATCCACTGACCCCGAATTAAGGTCTTACAATACATTTTATCTTCTTGGGCTGCTCTGCACTAAACAAAGGTACAACAATTCATGCATTGTAATCCTATTGGTCATTTGGTGAGCAGGAGCTCACACCTCCTTGCTGGAATGTGATCTACACCAGGTGTGTGTGTGTGTGTGTGTGT